TGTTTTAAAATCCAGTTTGAAAATTTCTGTCTTTTAATTAGTCTATTTATCCCATTTACATTTCACGTAATGCTTGATATGGTTGGATTTAGGGCTACCATCCCATGGTTTACTTTTTTTTCTTTTAAGATTTATTTATTTATTTTACAGAGAGAGAGAGAGAGAGAGAGTGCGAGAGAGCATGGGGGTAGGGGTGAATGGAGAGGGAGAGAGAGAATCTCAAGCAGACTCCTCACTGAGTGTGGAGCCCAATGCAGGGCTCTATCCCATGACCTTGAGATCATGACCTCGAGGTGATAACCTGAGCCAAAATCAAGAGTTGGACGTTCAACCTACAGAGCCACCTAGGCACCCCCAAGTGGTTTGCTTTCTGTTTGTCCCACCAGCTGTTTATTTTTACCTTCTTGACTTTTTTTGTGAGGGTCATCATTATTATTATTTTGATTTTTTTTCCTTTCAGCTAAAACACCTACCACATTTATTTTACTGTGATTCTGCTGGCAATGAATTCTTCCTGTTTTGTTTCTGAATGTGTCTTTATTTTGCCTTCAATTTTGAAGGGTACCTTCGCTCTACATGAAAATCTAGGTTGATAAATATTTTCCTCTCAGTATTTTAAAGATGTCATTTCATTGTTTTTTGATCATCTTTGTTTTTCATGATTTGTATGCTGTAATTATTATCTCCCCCATCTCCCCTGAAACATACTTAAATAACTTTTTTCTTTGGATGCTTAAAAGACCTTTTTCCCCTTATTTTTTATTTTCAGCTTTACCCTTACCCATCTTTGTACTGTGGCTTTGCTTGCATTTATCTGGCTTGAGGTTTACTGAACTAAGATCTCTAGGTTGTTATTTTTCATGCAATTTGAAAAATTTTAGTTATCCTTTATTCATATAACATTTATGCCCTATTCTGTCTATTTTTTTCCAGCCTCAACTACATAGGTCTTATGCTTGATATTGTCCTATGGAACATCTTTTAATCTCTTTCTCTTTTTGCTTCAGCTTGGAATCCTTTGCATTATGTTTTTAAATTGTTCTTTCTTAGTGTTCAATGTACTGTTAAACCTATCCAATGAATTTTTTTATTCCAGAGGTTGTATTGTTTATTTCTATGTTCCCATATTGACCTCTCTTTCTATGGCTTATTTTTTCCCTGGATTATCATAAAAGTTTTCTGTTTCTTTGCATGCCTAATAGTTTTTAAGTGTATGCCAGACACTGTGTTCATACATAATAGAGAGCAGGTAGTTAAGTTATGGGTGGGTTTCCTTGATCACAATTTTAGCTTTGTGGGAGTGTGTGTGTGTGTGTGTGTGTGTGTGAATGTATTTTCCACATTTTTAATCTTAGTCCCAGGTTATAACCCATTATCCTGGGACTTGTTTCTTATTCCTAAAGCATGACCTTCTGTGGTTTAAATGGAGAACTTGAGGTATCTACCAAGCTTCTCTAACTTGATAGGACTTGAACTCAAAAATTTGTCTTCTAGCCTTGAGAGCTGGTGAAATTTCTGCTTACCTCTTGCCTTGTAGTCATTGCTGGAGTAGACAGGTTTCTTGTAGACTCATTTTGTGCATGCATAGTTTAGATCACAGAGAAGGATTTGAGGTAGATTTATGTACAGGTCTATAGCTCCATATGTTAAAGGATCTTCACCTCAACTTCAAGCTGCTCTGGCAGCCCCAAATTGTGACTTTTGACTATTTAGTCCCATAAAACTTTTTCTGCTTGAGCCCTATCACCAGTGAACTGTATAAACTGGAAATATGCTCTCTCAGGAATGGACAGATAATGAATATTTTATTTAATGTATCTCTTTTATTTCAAGGGTTTGTCTTTTTTTCAGTTTCTGTCTGTCTTTTTTGGTTGTTTTTAGTACTTTTAGTACTTTGAAACAGATTTTTGCCGTATTTTGTGCAATACTTCTAGATTTAGCATCTATTCTGATAATTGTAATTGGTTGTTATATATTTATTTTTCTTTCTTTCTTTTTTTAATAATTTTTTTATTGTTATGTTAACCACCATACATTACATCATTAGTTTTTGATGCAGTGTTCCATGATTCATTGTTTGTGCATAACACC